TCACCCCTTAGGGGCCGACCATTTAACTTTTGAGGGGGGGGGGGTGATTTCTGGTGATCAAGAAATTTTTTTTTCTAGCAATCTGCTGTGCAGGTTATTTTTTCCGTTCTAAATGCTCTTTTTTTCTGTTACATTTGGGCTGCATACAATTTTTTTCTTCCAACAAGCGCTTGCAGGAAATTTTTTTCAAAATCACCCACCCCCCCGCAAGAGTTAGATGGTCGGCCCCTTAAATACTTTCATATTCTGTCTTTATACAGCGCCGGATCAGGTGTCTAATAAGCTCGCATAATCATGCGACTTGATTACAGTACTTTCACATCGTTTGGTAGTCCAAAAGTAATGTTAATAAAATTGGTACGAGTACTTTCACTTTATTTTCAATACACTACAACGTCCATCAGAAAATCAGCCATGATGGCTGATCACTCAAACAGTTGCTGTATTCGCACGGCCACTGCAATGGACCTTGACCAGGCAAAAGTCTGTGTGAAAGATGACTTGTTTTATTGTTTTATGTGTTAAGAATACCAATAGAGTTAAACTCACTAAGATCCATTTATTTCTTTATGCTTAACGAAAAGGACGACCGTTAGTTGTTAAACCTCGGTCCTCGCCAAATTTCATTTCTTTCGAACTATCGACCAACTATATCTGCTCTACTTCCAACAACGTTTTTTAATTTTCTTTTTCAGGGGGAAACAGACGGCCAATTTTAAAGTCATCACAGGGGCACCACTTTCATTCTCCTTTGATATACCGTCGTCAGTATTTCAATATGGAAACAGATGCTTCACTAGGTATCCTGAAGGCATGCCCGACTATTTCAAACAAGCCTTTCCAGCTGGAATGTCATATGAAAGGACATTTACATTTGAAGATGGAGGAGTTGCTACAGCCAGTGGACACATTAGGTATATGATGAAGTACAACTGAATATGGTTATATTTTGTCAAATTTTTGTACTGATTATTTTCTATTTGTACCGGCTTTACGCCTTTTATGTACATGACAGTCTTGAAGGCAACTGTTTCAAGCACAAGTCCATTTTTCATGGAGTAAACTTTCCTGCAGACGGACCTGTCATGAAAAAGGAGACAACTGGCTGGGACCCGTCCTTTGAGAAAATGACAGTCTGTAAAGGCTTTCTGATGGGTGACATTACTATGTTTCTTCTCCTCAAAAATGGAGGCTATCAAAGATGCCATTTCAACACTACTTACAAGTAAGGTTTTTTGTTAATTTTGAGACACCTCTGAGGTCTAGTGATGTGTGGTATTCTTTTAGACACTTGGTAACTCATTGACAAACAGGATCGTTTTGAGGAACATCTTATTACTTCAGAGTTCAGTGAACTCCTTTGACAGAGTAAGAGTATTAATTATCCACCAGCACTAAACTAAAACTATTTTTCAGTGTAGCATGATAAGTAGATTAAGCTGTAAATAAAACACAGCGCCTGGTTTATCTGAGTTTACTTAGTGTTAACTAGTTGCCAATTTTTTTCTCGGATACGAGGTACACAAGAAATTCTACTCTAGATAATTTTTATTGCTAAAGCTGTTGGATCCAACTTTGGTATCCTCAGTAAGAAAACGTGTAATGGCAATAGGAGTCTGTGGTCAAACGTGTGATTTAAAAATACTTTCCGATTAAAGCTGACTAGCCGTATAGATTTAATTCTATTTCTTTTCTTATTAAAATAAGTAAGAGGACTACCTGCTTTTCCAGTTTTGAAAATCGAAAATAAAAAATTCCTTGATAAGAAATAGCACACAAAGTGCAGTTACAACCATGACAGTAAAACGCATGTTGGAAAACAAGATTAGTAAACTTTACATGACGTTTCGTATGTTTCGACATACATCTTCAGAACTAAACAGTTAATAATACACGTGGCGACTAAGTTTGAATTTAAGATAAGTAACTAATTGACAAAACAACGAACAAAAGTTGAGAAGAAAAAAATTTGCATATATAAAGATGCAAACTAATACAGATAAAGCTTATCGCTGCTTACATTATCGTTTAGAGTAGGTTTAAGTTCTTGAATTAATAGAGTCTCCTTTATCTTGCAATGAGTATCAGAAAATTCCTTACGGCCTCGTCCAATTTTAGCTGTCGTCAAACTTATTTCATCCAATTATTTCAAATTAGACAGCCTGTAGTCCTATTCACATATACAGATTACAAGCATGGCACCCACAGTGTCCATTTGGGGCTCAAATCGGGTTGGTGATAACCGGTCGCAATCGAGAATTTTGCTATGATTTTTATTATGTATTTAATAGTTAATTTAAACAGGCAATTATTTTTTATGATTAAATTTTTATCATGTCTCTTACTTGAAAAATTAACAAATGGTGAACACCATAGCGTGTACTATTGAGTTATGGATGCACGCGGGAGGTTGCTAAGCACGAAAGAAGCGTAAGAGTCGCACTCGGCTATCGCCTCTTGCGACTCTAGCTTCTTGAGTGCTTAGCAAACCTCCCAAGTG